TGACTCTGGGTGAATGTTCAAGCTCCTGAAGCCCAGCTTTAAGCACTGTAATAGGAAGGCAGAAACATGGCTTCTTGCATGAAATAAATAACAGCCATGAATGTGAAGTACTTGGCTGGCTGAGAGCACACAACCAATGTTTTCTCTCTACCCCACTAGTCCTCTATGTTCAGGTGATCACAGCCACAGAAGAGCCATCCCTGAGAGTCATAAAGTTGGCGTCCCGCTGGGTCCTGAGGGAGCTGTATGAACTGGAGCTCCTGTTTTCTATCAGTCATAAAACCCACTGTTGGGATTAAATGAGATCACATTTGCAAGGCGCTTTGCAAGGCGGAGCCTGACATACGGTAAATGCTCAGTAAGAGACAGCAGCTACGACAATGTTGATGAACAGGAAGATGATGGAGTCCGGGAGGAATTACAACGTTTCAGCTCAATTCTCCCTTGCCCATTAAAACACAAAAAGAAAAGGGAAACAGCAGTTTTCCAGGACCATGGAGACGGGAAAGCTATTCACTACTCCCTCGAGTGAGAGAAATGAAGTCTCCAGACTCTAGGGCGATGGTTCCGGTGGTCTTCTAATGAGTGAGCCACGCTGGGACCTACTGAAATTTCAGCTAACAGGGAAAGGGATGTAGCTCAGAGGCTCGGAAGTCTAGACCTTAAACTGGCTCTCAGGTAAGTTTAAGTTAGTAGCCCAGGACCACACACTAAGACACTCACTTTATGATTACTGAACTGAACCAAAATGATTCCTGAAAAATCTAGATGGACTCATTAGTGAAATCTAAAGTTGACTCTTGCTTTAAGGAGATTATTTGTGAGGGAACATTTGCCGTTGATCACCAATTTGAAGCACTCGTGTAAATGGTACACAGCTTAATCACTGAGAATACAATCAGTACTAAAAGATATTGTTTATAATTATGCATGTACACATATACATAGACATGTATATATTATATACTCTTAAGAATAATGACTTCAGTGATTTGGAGTTTTCTTTTGTTTGTTTTTGTTTTTTGAGACGGTTTCTCTTTAGCTTTGGAGACTGTCCTGGAACTAGCTCTTGTAGACCAGGCTGGCCTCAAACTCACAGAGATCCACCTGTCTCTGCCTCCTGAGGGCTGGGATTCAAGGCGTATGCTATCACTGCCTGACTAGAAAACATTTTGAGACATGTGGTAATTTTGATATGTCTATGGCCAAGTCATGAATGAGCAAACATGAAACTGAAGAAAACTGTTGGGTGGATCTTCATGTAAAACAAGGGGTTTCACTGAAGTAATGAGCCTGTGACCTGCTGTACAGTTTTTATGCTATTTTTCTAAAATCTGCTGTACAAAAAAATTATGTCCTGTTAAAATGATCAGTTTTTGATATTTTTCAACTACGTTTTTCTTGTTTGAGAATTTCATACATGCATATAAAAGTAGTATGTTTCACTACTTTTAACTCAATTTTTTTTCAAATTTGAGTTAGCCATCTATAATTGCTTGAAATTAACTACTATCTCGATATAATGAAAATTTAAATTAAAAACTTGAGAAATATATTCAGTTTATGATTTTTAGTTTCATACACTAAATGAAATTTGTTCTGGAAATGAGAGTGTGTCTTATTAAATCTACAGTTGAATTTTAAGATATCTTTTTAAATTAGAGATTAAAATGGTCTAGTTAACATTGTTGTTCATCCCATGCCTTTGAAAGGAAGAATTGTTGGACTAGAAAATGTGTGGGGTGGTTTTGAAGAGCAAATGGACCACCACAAATTACAACCATGTGGAATTTATGCGTTCACCTGTACGGAGTAAGTGTCTATTTGGGTTTCTCTGTGGTTTGACAAACAGGTATGTGGCACACTACTGTGCTGATCCATCCAGACGCTCGAGTTCAGACAAAAGCAATCCAATGTTCGCAGTCATTTTTGTTTGTTTTAGCAAAACAACCCATGTGAACTCCACCCAAGCCTGGGAGTCGGCGTGCCCGGAGACAATTTTACTAGGTACATGCAGTGGTGTTTAAAGTTCACCAGGATGGCTTTAAGGGTTGGTCGATTTTCCTTTTATAGAGTTTGACCTCATTCTTGGAGCCTCTCGGAAGGCAGTACCAGGGAAACTTACATCGATTCAAAGCAGCCGTGGAGGGGAAAGGGGTGCTCCAATTTAGCACATTTAAATTAACACACCACTCTTAGTCATTGGCAGATGCGCTCAAAACCCATGTTTTACATCCAACCACAGTTTTCGGTGAACTGAATCAAACTGTACATGTAAAATTTACAGACTGCTATCTAGAGCTCTAAACTTCTGAGCTGTGAAAGCTCCGTGTGTGCACATGTATGATCATATCTCTATAGCGGTGTATGTGTGATCATAGGTATGTGAATGCAGTCATGCTTTTTTTTTTTTTTTTTTGCCTGAGCAAAAAAAGCTATAGTTTATCAGAAATTCTCACTGGGTCATATGAGTCCACAGACTTCATCACTACTGAAATGCAGAGAATCAGAAATGGCTGTTTTTTCCCTTGCATACATGGTGTATATGTATAATATGGCTATGTGTAAAGTACATATATGTATAAACTGCTTCCATGACCTTCCATAATCTGAGCAATGAAGGGTTGCTTGCTAGCTGTCTCTTCTCCTGGGGTGGGGGGTCCCTTTGAACTTCACTCTAGCAGGTACGGCTTGGGACAAGGGGCTCTGCAGAGGAGTCTGCAGGAAGGCAGTTAGTGCCCCAGCAGAGGCTCACTGGTGGGCTACCGGGTGGCCTTAGATGACTTTGACATGACGTTAGACACATTTAAACAGTAAGGGACTCCACTTGGACAGTTTCTTTTAGTTCTTCTGATTATGGAAAACAAATAGGCCTAATTGGTAGTGAAATAATTTTACCACATCTGTCACACTCTTTTCGATAGTAAGAACAGCCTCAGTCTTCACAGATAATTTTCTCTGACAAGAGAGGAATAATTTGTCCATGTAATTTCTTTGGATGATAATCTTCCTTGAAAGACAAATGATACTGGCTTTCCATCTATAGTAAAACAGAAAGTTCCTATTTAAATAAGTGTATCTAATTTACAAATGAAAGGGGATAACAAACTATAGAAATGATACTGAATGCATAGGAGCTAACAGCTGCCAAGAGAGGCAGAGTTAGCTTTCTTTAAGCCTGTGGCCCTGGGAAGTCTAGCACGCTGCAGAGGATGCTCACACACCTAACAGTAAATGGATAGCGCTACTGGGACTGCGTGAGTTTCTTTAAAAATGAGGTTATGAAGTTGGGTAGGTATTGGAGTGGGGGAGTAGATCTGGGAGGTGAAGGGGGTAAATATGATCAAAATACAATGTCTGCAGTTCTCAAAGACAGTAAACTCTTTTTAATTTATAAAAATAAAGTGACGTTTGCAGGACAATAGATGAACCTAGAAGTTATTATGTTAACTGAAATAGATTCAAAAAGAAAAAATACTAAATGTTTCATCACATTTTCATATCTTAAATTTGAAACTTTATGTATGAGCTAAAATTCACACGTAGAAACACACAACTAAATTTTCAAAACTACAATTACATTGCTAAAATCTGGTGCAAATATAAGTGATTTTTTTTACTCTTATTAAGTATCAAGATATGTAACTATCAAATAAAAATGTAAATTTGTTTGTGAGATTTGTTCATTTTTCTTCTTTGTTATTATGGGATAGTATTCATTTCAAAATTTTGATAACATTAATATTAGTAAAATAAAAAAAGAAGGATAATACTTTTAGTACAGATGATACAAGGGCAGGATAAAAATCACAAAGTAGTTAGTAAATTAAAGAAACTTGGTGAAAGCAAGGACAATTTGCTCATGAGTTGATGTTTGGGAGAAAATTCAATTTATTGAGGACAAATATTTATAGCTAGCAGCAGGAATCTCTATGCAGCATCTCTGAAGAGAAAGGACCAGGAAAGCATAAACAGTACAAGCTGTTCTTGATGTTAATTGGTCGGTGTGCTTTCAGATGCTCATAACAGAAAGCAGCTAAGAACAGTTCAGACAGTAAGAACCATCTCCGTGGCCCTAGCTGTTGGGGCAGCAGGTCAGTGACCTTAACAAAGGGCCTAGGTTCTTACCCTCTCTTTTGCCATACATACCATACCCTGTCAGCAGGTCCGTCAGGTTTGTCCCTACAGGGTCTTATGATATCTTCCATGACATCGTTTCTAACGCAATGACGACCAAAACTGACCAGATTCAAGAAATTATGAATCATTCTGTTTTGCTTTGTTCCAAGACCAAGAGAAACTAACCCAAAGTTTCCCATATTTTTTCCCTCCCGTTTCTTAAGCAAGGCTGCATTCCACATTCCTACTAAATCAAGTGTTGATTGCCTACCCCCCAGAAAAGGAAAGTATAGCCAAAATTGCCTTAGTGACATCCTGATTTACTTGGGGTTAGAAAGGACTAATGAAGACCACAGGGCTTGGTAACTGAAGAGTTATCACTTGGCAAAGGATGTGAAGGAACTGGCTACGGAGTGGGCACCGCACATTGTTGCTATCTGTTCAGACTAGCAGAGAGTCTGGACAATTCCAGGCTGCTCCGAGATGCTGAGACTTGACATAGGAGGTAAGTATTAGTCTGTCATGGCCAACAGTAGAATACTGAAACTATATGGAGAACATGCACACAGAGGACAGTATTTTAACTTACAGGTTTTCTTTTTAAAGCATCCAGATAGGGTAAAATTTCAAAAGAAGTAACGAGTGGGCTCAGGGTTTACAAACACTGACTGGTGGTTGTTCTGCATTTTAAACTTTCAGATCTTGTGGACCAAACAGACACAATAGAGGAGAAGGGAACGGGCTGTTGCCATCATTTTAAGCATCTGCTCTTTTTTAAAAGTCTCAGAGTAGCCACTATACGAGAAGTTAAGAAACAACATAAAATTTAGTATGCATCTTTGTATAACTTGCAAAAGAGACACATGGAGAACTGTATCTTACCTGGAGTGTAGGACTTGTGCATGCTCAATCTGGATTTGATGGGTAAATTCAGTTCCAAAAAAAAAAAAAAAAAAAAAAAAGCCATACTTGAAATGGGCTATACGAATCTACCTGATGCCCCCCACCCCACATATCTGTGTTTTAAATGTTTTCAAAGGCTAAATTTGGTACCGTATGCTCCATTCCACAATGAATACGATTAAAGAAATGGTTAGGAAGGATCTGTTCTGAAATGTGGAGTGACAGGAGTGACCGTCCAACAGTGATTAGGCAGCTAACACAGTAACATCCTCTGTGTCCTGATTTTTTTCTCCGTCCTAGCAACAATGTTTTAATAAGGACGCTTTAATACCGATTTTAAAGATGTAAAATGTAATCAAAGCACAATGGTCTGCATGTGTAAAGGTATCATAATGAACCCTATTATTTAGTACAGCAACTTAAACATTTTTAATAACAAGGTACATGTGCATGAATCAAAGTCCAAAGAGTAACTTACTAGAGTTTATAATGGCAGCTAGTGGTCAAGTGGCAATTTGACTTCAGGCCTTTCTGACCCCAAGATCTAGGCTCTCTCCACTAGATGGTTCTGCTTGTTGGGTTTTTGTACAGACACTTCTGAAGGACAAAAATATGTAGGTTATGAATTAAAAGAGTGGAGCTAAGACACACAGATAAAAAGAAAAGTCAAATTCAAATCCAGAAAAGAAAAAAAAAAAACAAGTAGGCATTAAGCACCTACTATGTGCCAGGAATTGAATAAACAAGAGACTGTGCACCTATCTGGACACACAGGGGAAGGGAAGGAGGTGAGGGGCTGCCAGCAATCCCAAAACACCCAGACATCTAAAGAAAAGGGGAGTACTTGTGTTCTTTGGTGTGGAGCCAGAACAGGAGTAGGTGTGGTAGGGATAAACAGGCACACCCGAAGAACAAGGACCTCCCTGGCCAGGGCTGGGCTGGACTGGAGAGACACACCTTTACATTAAGACTGCCTTTTCCCAGTTGGGTAAGTTTCCCTTACTCTCACTTGTATATGCTTGAGACAAGTCAGGCACCCAACTCTTACTGATAGACGTCCTTCTGCCTGAATATAGGATAGCCCAAATATTTTAAACACTGGTAGAAGCTGTGTTCTCCTGAAGGTTAGCAAGCAACTGTTTATTGAGGATTATTAAAGTGATGATAGTCTTACCCTGTTACGTTTGGAAAAGCCATCGTCGTATCTGCATGTCTGTTGCCTCAAACCAGAATTCCGAGGCAGTGCAGCCTGAGCCGTCATCTGGGTCAGCGTTATCTTAGCCATCTGTCACTGATGGAGATTAAGTACGATTGCTATAGCTGTTGGCCCAGATGGCGCCACTCAGTTTCACCTGCATGATTCATCATATGAAAAAGAATGTGATTTCCTTTAGCACATCAACTTAACCAGCCAGGCTTCGTAATGACCGGCGTGTTTCTTACTAGTGCATCCCATGCTTGCCAGTGTTACCAAGAAAAGATAGCAGATGTCTGTACTTATCTAAAACTAAAGAAAATCAGCATTGGTATTGAAACATCTTTTCTCCCTGGGCTACCAACTGCTCATGTTATAATCAGTGCCAAAGTAAATAGGCCTCCGCAGCTTATAGGAAGGGACTGGGGAGAGGGTTCTGTTTAGAGCCTTGCTACACAGCCAAGAGCACCTGAATTTGGACTCCCCAGTACCCATTCAAAAGCTGGTCTGGAAGCCCACATCTGTAATCCCAGGGCTGAGGAAGCAAGAACAGATCCCTAGACCTCCCTGGCTGACCCGCTTAACTAAGTCAGTGAGCTCTGGTTCAGCCGGGGACCCTACTTCCATTGCTATTTCCTAGCTTATTCAAGAGCGGTTAGGGAGATAACCAGCTTAGACCTCTGTACTTCATATGCACACACACACACACACACACACACACACACACACACACATGTGCATGCATACCTGCACACACCTATGTACACACATATAAACGTGTGCATACACATACACACCATACACAGAGAGAGAGGTGGGGGGCAGTGTTTGGAGGCAAAGCACACAGAAACAGAATCCAGTGTCACGTCTCTCTCCAACCCGTTTTGAGAGTACAAAAAAATGTAGATGACCCATATGGTGCTGATAAAGTTGGGGAGGTGCTTTGATCCGTCCAATCATACCAATCCTTGGGAAGTCACTTAAGTATGATTTTTTAAAGTAGCCCACTTATCAAAAAGGCCTTGACCTCATTTTCAACATGAATTTTTCTATGTTTAGACAGAATCTGGAATTACTCTGCAGAAAATGTATTAGTCGTAAGTCATACTATATATAGAAATTCACTGACTGATACAAGAGACACCATGAATGCCCAAAAGCTCTGAGTCCAAAAGACACTTGGATCCAATTGTTTTGGCTCAAAGACTAATAATGTAGTTTAGGGGTAGGATTTTTTTCCTAGCATGTGCAATTCGGTCAAAAAGAAAAAAACAAAACATGGCTTAATGCTTTGGTTTTGCATTACCTTGGGCAACTTACATAACCTCCCTAAGTCTCTTTATTTAAACTTCAGATTCTAAGGCATAAAGGTAATAAATTTTACCTCAGAAGGTTGCTTGTATAAATCTATGAACTGATCCAAATAAATATTGATAATGGTATGTGACTCGTTTTTATTGTTTGTGGATTTCACATATGCATATAAACATGCTGTGATCAAATGCCCTCCCCATTTCTTCCCTTCCAAATCCTCTCCTACACCACCACCACGTTTCCCTCGAAACTTCATGTGTTCTTTTAAGACCCATTTAGCTCTGCCTGTATGTGCATGAGTGCAGGAGCATCTATTGGAGCATGGGTGACCTCTCGACTGCATCCATGGACAACAGTCTCCTTCCTCCGACAGCCATTACTTGACATTAGCATCTCACCTAGAAGGGAATTTCATGAGACTTCTCCCCAATCCATACTGAGATTTTTGCTGGCTTGCTCTTGTGTGAGTCGTACACCTACAGTCCCAGCCACTGTGAGTTCATGTGTACAACAGCCTTGCTGTGCCCAGCAAATACTGTTTCACTACAGACATTCACTAGCTCTGACTCTTATAATTTTTCTGCTCCCATCCCTCCTGCTGTGATGCCTTAGCCTTGGGGTGGAAAGGCTATGATACAGACCTCTCAATCGAGTTGACCACTGAATAGTCTCTTACTCTCTGCCCCTTGGCTGGTTGTGGGTCTTTGTACTAATTAGCCTCTATTACAAAAAGACGCCCTTCTGCTGAGAGTACAGTACTAGGCTGAGTATGAAGAGAAAAATCTTAGCACCGATTTAATATTGGGTTCTGAATGAAACACAGAGATGATATTGACTTCTGTGAGACATGGGGCACTTGACCCTACTTAATTGGCATTTGAGTAAATCCCAGTGGGGGTAGAGGATAAGCCAAGTTAAAATAAATATTCCCATTTGGCTAAGGCATATAATCTGGCAGATCCTTAGGTGTGAACCATGGAATGAACCGGTTGTTTTAATATATAATATGCTGCTTCCTAAAGTAAAGTTCTGAGTCTTGACTAAGCCAGTATCTAGTATAAGATCAGACAGATATAAAAGATTAAACAGTTTGCCAGCCATTCCTACATTATACACTATAGCGCAGTGCTTGGCGATGAAGCTTCAACTTTTGTTCTGCCACTTTCCACGGAAGTGAGCCTGTGCATGTTACTTGATGTCTATGAGCCACACCATGATGCTCCATAGAAGAAAATAACATTCTCCCTTGAGGCTGAGGACCCTGGTAGACTTGTGTGCCCAGCACTAAAGAGGTATTCAGCCAGCAGTCATCTTTGCTATTGTTAGAAAAAGAACAATGATACTGTGTCGAGACAGATCATTGCTTTCCAGACATGCTGTAACAAGCAAGTCAGTAAGGAGAGAAAGGCACAAGCAAACCAATAGGACTAGAACCGAAGAAATGGACCAATCCGCAGTAAGTCTGGCCTATAAGGAACACATCATATCATATCATATCATATCATATCATATCATATCATATCATATCATATCATAAACTGTCCAGAAAGAGAAATGAACTGGAAGCTGGCCTAAAGAGATGTCATCTTTGGTGAACTGTTAAGTCTGCTGGATCACAGCATTAAGAAGTCAGAAGGTAAAATATTTGATTCTATAAAAATACATTGTGTTTGAAGCAAGACACAACCAATGGCTGAGAGTGTTTAGAGGACAGGGAACGGCAGCGCAAAAGCCATGGCAGACAGATTATCAAGATAGATGCAGCCACAGCAGCAAGGAGGAGGATGGCTGTGACTTCCACTGGGCATCCGTTATGAATCCATCCATTCTGTTTGTTCTTTTATATTTTCTCCTATAAAAGTCACAACACTGTAAGAGGTCACTTGGATTCCACACGAGAAAATTGAGCTTTAGAGTAGTCGGGGGACAGAAGAACAGATATGTCTGAGACTGTGCAGCTGGGAAGTGTACCTCCAGACAGGACCTCTGAGGGGGTTGGGAGTTGCGGTTCAATGAGCATGGGCCTTTCTTTGAATTTTTTGAGTTAATTTGAATAGTACACCTAGCTCATAGTGAAACTATTACACATTTCTTTCCCTATTTACAGTACTATGAAGCAAATTCTGGGCCATATAAGCTTAGCTAGGCTTGAGCTATTTCCTAGCCCTACTTATATCTTTACACCCTAAGATTCTTTTTCCTCAATCCTAATCAGGACTGATCTTGTAGATTACATGTGGACCCTAAGCTCAGAAGAACTTAATGCCTCAAGTGTCAACTAAAGGCTGGATACACCATTTCAGATACTTAACTCCATCCTTTCAACTCACACAGGAATTCCTCCACAAATCCACTAGGTTTTGAAGAACTTTCCAGAGAATCAAGTCTAGATAATTAATCCAAAATTCCAAAATCCTCAAGACATAATGCCTCATTCTTCATAAGATACGAAAAAAAAAAACCCCAACAAGATATGGAACAATACATAATGAAACAGGAATAAGTAAATGCAGTCACAGCTCACAAAAGTAGACATTACAACTGCCATGATAGCGCCACAAGGTCAGGTAGGTGACAAATACCTGTCACACTGCCTCACACTAGAGGCAGAAGTGCCCAATAAAAAGAAGAGCAGGAAGGAAACGAGGAGGAAGAGAAAGAAGAGGAGAAGTGAAAAGGAAAGAAGGAAAGAAAGGAAGGAAGGAAGGAAGGAAGGAAGGAAGGAAGGAAGGAAGGAAGGAAGGAAGGAAGGAAGGAAAGAAAGAAAAAATGGAAGGAAGGAAGGAAGGAAGGAAGGAAGGAAGGAAGGAAGGAAGGAAGGAAGG